GAGGGCGAGGGGTCACCCCCGCGCGCTTCCGCCCTCTCCTCTCGGCGCCCTGCCCGCCCTTCCCGGCTCCCGCAGGGCCCCCGCACCGTCTGCGGCCGCTCCTCTGCCGTGCTTAGCTGGGTTGGCTGTGCGGCTGGGGTTGGTGGGAAGATAGAGGAGCAGGATACTTTTTCTTGGCCTCGTTACTCCTGCTTTTTATCTGCATGCAAAGAAGCCTGGTGGAGGGTTAATATTCTCCTTTGTAGCTTCAGGGTTAGGACCTTGAATCTTGCTTTGAAATGGGCATCAAGCTTCCCAATAGCTGTCCTGACCAAGCAGTTTTCTGTTTTCTTTTTTCTTATAACTGTTTCAGCCCCAAGACGAAATAGAAGTTGAAGATGGGTTCAAACAGTATGATGGTAAGGTTTTGCTACAGTGTTATCAAAGTGTAACTCAAAAACTTTTTGACTATTTTGATCCTTTACGTGCACTCTTTTTTGTACTGACTGTAGTTTTGTACTGACAGTACTTAATTACTGCTTAATGATAGCTCTCTGTTTTGTCTTAGTGATTAGTGCATTAGACATGGAAGCTATGATGAGTACCATAAATGCTTGGATAAAAAACCCAGTCAAGTTTGAACGTTCTCATGGGATCAACAACACACTGGATGCCCAGATCTTAGCAGATAAGGAGGGAGGAGATGAAACAATCCATATTCTTATTGTTGAAGGCTTCCTACTTTACACCTACAGGTAATCAAATGTACCTTCACATATTTTGATTTTTAGATGACAGGTGAAGCTCCAAAGGAATAAAAAGGCTTGTTATAAACCCAGAGTTAGCAGCTGGTATTGACTGCTACTGAATTTAGGTGTCACAAATCTGAAGATAGTACTAGAAATTGATGTAGTTTTACCTTTCTGTTTCTTGCTACTAATCACACAGCCTATCTGTAACCAAACATGTATCTCTTTCAGGCCACTGATTGACGTATTCCACCATCGGTATTTTCTTTCCATTCCATATGAAGAGTGTAAAAGGAGAAGAAGGTAAGCTTATCCTTCCAAGTTCCCTTGCCAGCCCAGTAACGTATTACTCACTTTGTTTCTCTAAAGCTTTTAGATAAGAAAGGATAAACACTAACATAACTGCTGTGTTGGAAGACTGTAGCTTTCTTCACAAGCTACAAACAAACCCAAAAGCTTCCTACCAAGCTTTGTGTATGTGCAGCTAAGGCAGTTTCTGCACAGATCTTTCAGTAGGCTTTCCCCCTTTCTGATTTTCCAATGATACAGTCCCCAGGTCTCAAACTATCTTGGGGTTTTATATTTGGCTGTATTGTTGTACATGTAAACTGTTAAATTTTAAAACCTGTAAACTGAAATCTGTTAAATTTGATGTTTCAGGGGAATAAGCAGACAGCTGTTTTAACCAAAGTTCTGCTAAAGCTTTAAGAGAAGGTTATTCATCAATGTTAAGATCAGCCTGTCTTGGGAATCCTTTTTGCATCTTGAACACTTGAACTCACACATCAAATTTCACCTTTTTTGGGGTTTCTTTATGCTTGCAGCTTATGCTAAATATTGGCTTTTGATAGGCTCAAAAACTACATTAGAAGCAACAGGCTCAGGCTAGCATGTAGAGAGACTGAATGAACTATCTGTCATTTCCCCGAACTGTAATTAGACTACACTTGGCTAACAATGTCTTAATTTATAGTTCTAGGAATTACACTGTACCGGATCCACCTGGATTGTTTGATGGCCATGTCTGGCCTATGTATGTAAAGCACAGGAAGATAATGGAAGATCTTGGAGTTGATGTGGGTAAGTCGTTAATGACAAAAGCACTTTTGAAAGATTGCTTTGTCAGAGTGCTTTTCAAACCTGGGATATATATGAGAGGAGTTGAAACAGGTGGATGGAGTCTTATTTCTCCAATACCAGTTACGTGCGTGCTCTTTAAATTGGGATTTGGCAGGCTTACAGAAACATTCAATTATTTTAACTTTCTTTAAGTGCACTTGAATGGAACAAAATCCAAGGAGGAGCTGTTTAATGATGTGTATGGACAGATCCAAAATAAGATTGAAGAATTACTTAACATGCAGGTACATGTTCATGCTTATAATTGCAATGTAAAGGCAAGCCTTTTAAAGGCTATGTTGAAAAAGTGAAGCTATAACTTCATGTATATCTTTCTCTTTAGAAATAAGATGCTGATGATGATTCTTGGAGTGAAGATGATTCCTGTTTGCTCCCTGCTGTCTACCTGCCTGCCACTCAAGTTCCAGCTTCTGTGAAGACTCTCAACTCTTAAATTCGACTTTGTTCAGTTTTCCCTGGAAACTGAGTTATATATGGTCATAATTAAAAAGCACTTCCCCCCCTTGTCTGTCATCTTAATTTGTGCTTCAGCCTAGTATGTGGCCTCAGATGATCTCAAATCTTCTCCCAGTCTCCATCCTGTGGGAATTCTTTTCACTTACATTCTTAAAACCTGTGAGAGTAAAACACTATAGTGGAACTGCTGTGAAGTGGTGTATGTGTGTGTATATATATACACCCACACACACACATATAAACCACTTTGAGTTCTTTCAATAACCTGCATGAATTTCTAGAATCCATCTAATCAGACAGCAGGCAAGCTTCTTATTTAAGAAATTAGGAATTATTTTGCTCTTCAGAAAAGAGAACAGTAGGAGGGTTTCATGCTGTTTTACTAGCATTGAATTATTCTGTTAAATTCAGTACACACATTGATCCCAGATGCAGACAAATTGGTTCAGAGTCAGGGACAAGATTTTATATACACCACAGCTTCAAAAATCGATTGCTCTAGAAGATTTCAGTCGTGTTCTGTAGCTTAAGGCAAGTTCAGACTCCTGTGTATGTACAGAAGTAGTTTAAGGCCCTGGTTTACATAGACAAGCACTGAAAGAGCAGATGAAGTCTTAATCCATGGTAGGGGGAAAAGAATCTAGGACAAAAGCTTGATTTAAAAAAAAAAAAAGTGGTCCAAGAAAGAAGGGATGTATTGATCCCTTGGAAGGGATGTATTGATGCATTGGAAGGGGTGTATTGATCCATTGGAAGGGATGTATTGATGCAGTTGTACTAATGCTTTGGCTCTTCAAAAGGGTTTGACCAACACTGAGAAGCAGCAGTTATTTCAAGCCCAGATGCATTAGCTTCCTGACAGGAGCTGGTCCTCCCCAGTATCCCCTACAAACAGAAAGCTGTATCATGGATGTGCTTCTATTCTAGCAAGGAACTAAGCCAGAACAGGTATCTGTGTCTGGCTTTTTTTCTGAATGATCAGACCAGCTCTGGCTCAGAACTGAAATACTTACTTAAGTAGTGCATTCCAATAGAGAAGAGGCATCATATCGGCTTTCATATGGTACATGGTTACTCTCTCCTTGCTCTGGTCAATGGGAAAGGTCTCCAAAGGCTGAGCATCATAGTCAAATTCTGCTAGAATCACCTTGTTGTAGCCTGTTACTAGCGGGCAGGAAGTATATCCATCATACTGCAATGAAAAATACCCCCTTTTCATTAATCTGAGCAAAGTCTAAATGCTGAGGTGTTACAGCCACATGGTTAATATATTTCAAAGTAAGTTACTAAGAGGTTTCTGCTTTTACAGTGTTAATACCAGCAAGTGTGAAAGGCTACTAAGCCAATAATGGTTTAATAACCATAACACTAAGCCATTTTATTTCAGAAGTAGAGTTGTTTAACAATATTGCTTAAATTGGAGTGTAACCTAGAACAACAGGGCTTTGTGTCATTAAGCAGAATAGCTAAATCAGGAGAGCTGGTGCTGGCTTTAGCAGACAGTACATGAATGGGATCTTGAATCTAACTGCAAGAATTTCCAGAGGGTTGCAGGAGTATGGATGATGATACTCAGGTTATTACCCCAAGGAATATTAATTCAGAGGCCATATGTAAAATGAAAGCCAAGTCTCAAAAGACAAGTTTTTATCATAGTTACAAGGCTTAACATCTGTAGCACAAAACTTTTGCCTCCTTAAAAGATGTTCTGTACAGGGGAGGCAAGTTTGCAAGGGTTTTCCTGGAGTAGGGATTATATTAGTCAACAGTTTTACTCTAAATAAGTTACCTGCATTGGTGAAGAACCCGGACTAGTCAGCCTTTAAACTTATGTCAACTCAGAAATTATGGAATTAAATAGATATTTTTAATGGCTGTATCAAGAATCTGAATTGTGCAACTAAATGACTATTATGCCATACAGTATTTAGCACCCCAGCTACTGCTGCAAAGCCCTTCCTGCCTTCTGGTTCACAAGACTTCCTGCTAAGAATGGAGAAAACATTCAAGATAACTGCTCCCTATGACAAGAGCTGTACGTACCTTTTTAGTTGGCAACTGGTTCTTCATTACCAGGGAAATAGTTTTATCAAGCACTCCAGACTGGGCAGCTACATAAGAAAGAAAAAAAAGAGCATATTAAGGCTTTGTTTCAGGCAGCAATTATTGACATTACTAGAGCAAACACAAGTAGCCAGGCACTTTATCGGACAATTCAGCTGTAATTGAATTTACACATCCAATCAGTTTGGGAAGTTTACAGTCCTAGATGTAAGGAAAAAAAAAAAAAGTTGTACTAATGCTTTGGCCTTACTGTTTCCAACACACTAAAACTTAAATGAGACTTGAGCTGTATGTTTTTAGCCAATGCCCATTCTCCTATGCTAAACTCCACTCGCTCAATCTTCCCAAACACTAAAATTCTGGCACACTAAGGTTTTGTTTCATTTTGAGTTCTGTACGGGAAGGTATTCTAGACCCATTTGCTGGAATAGTTACTGTACCATTCTTCAAGTTACACCAATAACATACTGTATAGCCTTTCTTTCTTTTCCTACCCTCTTATTTACAAGTACAGAACATGTGATTCTTCCACAGTGACTTATCAGTTAGCTGACACGTACGCATGAGCTGCTAAGATAGAGCACAACGTTTTGTTAGTGCCTGATGATGGAATGCAAGAATACTATGCTCACTTTATGCTTTTCCATGAACACAGAAAATATAATTCGTTAATCTGTGAGGCATTTGGAACAAGAGAACTGTGGGTTAATGGCATCAGCATGGTCTGTAGCTAATTAGTTGGCCCAGGAGACTTAAGTCTTACTGAAAGCTGGAAATAATTGAAGTCGAGACCTCAGGAATAACAAACTAAACAAAAAGCTTACTGTCACTGCCAGAGTTTTCATTACACGCACAAACACACACATGGAACTTTACCTACAGCTGCAGCAGTTTTTGATGTTGGCAGGTTGGTGCAGTCTCCAATACCAAATACATTGGGATACTTTTTATGTTGTAGCGTTTCCTTATCTACATCGACCCAGCCAATTCCATCCGAGACAGGACTATTGATGAGTACGTCAGGTGGCCCCATTGGGGGTGTGACATGAAGCATTTCATACTAGACAGAAAGAAAAGGCACTCAGTGGCTAGTTTATCAAAGCAAATCATACCTGTGTTGATATAAAGAAATAAGCACAGTGTGGAAAGGGGTTTTTTGGTTTGGCTGGTTGGGGTTGGCTTTTTTGTTTGTTTTTTAAACAGAAGTATATAGAATGAAAATTAGCTCTCAAGTTTGAAGCGCATCCTTTTATTAACACGAACTTTATCAGGCAACTCCATTTAGACTGGCATAATTTGCTTTGCTCCATATACATCTGAGACACTCCCAAGTTATGCTAACAAGGCATACAGGACTCCAGGCGTGGTTTATGAAATACTTTTTCTTCTCTACACCCTAGTTTCAAACTTTTTAATCTTCTGCTAAAGTTAGAGAGATGGCATTCTCAGGAGGAAACAATAATATACAACGAAGCAAACATTATATAGTATAGCAGTTAGGTTACAGTATACAAGGGAAAGAAATAGGACCAAACTAGAGGTCTGAAAGCTCCTGACCTGATGAACTTCAGTCATTCCAGGTTTGTCCAAGTTTTCAAACACAGCTTCCTGCTTGTCTGCTCGAACTTCAATAAGGTTGCGCTTATAGTTAACAGCAATATTCCTCTCTCTTATTATTCCAAGCAATGCATCAGCATACTTCTTAACACCAAAAATGACACCAAGTGAGGTGTTGAACATGATGTTTGCTTTGGAACGTTTTCCTGTCTGCACAGAGAGATCAAATTAGTGATTTTTGTTAAGAAACTGTGACAAGCTAGCAGAGACAGAACTATACTGCACTACTGAAGAGCTGATAGAACTGTTAATGCAGTTCAGTTATTAATGAAGTATTAACATTAGAACTCTCAAGATACAGCTATTTCACACCATGTTAGAAGCTAGACAACTTAGAAGCTAGACAAGGCAATCTTTGCCCTTTCTGAGTGAGGTACTGAAGACACCCCACACAAAGTGCTGGTGAGCAGAGGTGGCTGCAGTTCACTAAGGAACCGCAGTATGCAGGTTACACGTTTGTAGCAGGTTAGCATTATATAGTTTCTGAAACCGTCAGTTCTATGCATTATTCAGATACTTGCCCAGTAGATAGCTTGTGAAACTTAAAACACATATGAAGTCTGACACTTCCACTTGAAGTTGTCTTTTGTTTCCACTAAGCTTGCTTTAACAGCCTGGCTTAACAACCCTGACTCCTCCTGACGTTGATAGTGCACCACAAGGAACAAGCATAGTCGCTTCTCAGACTAGCAGAAAGACAAATGACAACAGGCATTAAGTACTTAAAGTAACAAGAATTACTTATTTCCAGCCATTATTTCAGTGCACCACTGAAAGTTACAAATTAGGCTGAGAGCAGCTGTATCTGAGGCTCATCAGAAGCAGGGTAAGCAGTTCTTTCCTGATGGATTACAAATTCTACAAGCTTCTCTGGTATTAAATGCTAAATATTTATGTGTACTATTCAGTTAGCTTCATTTATTATACCTTAATAATAGAAAAAGCAACTCAGTCGCTTTACTAATCCTGAGTCACATTCCTTTCATGTGGTTTTCATTTGTTTTAACGATAATATGAAGCCCTTAGAACAAGCCTTCTTTCCAACTGTGAGAACAAGCACTGGCAGAGAGAATTAAATACTTACTTTCCTCCAGTAGGCCTCTGATAAATACATGATCTTCTGAGGAGCCCCTGCGCACTTCACTGGAGTGTTTGGAAAAGTGAAGATAGCATTTCCTTCCTTGAAATCTTGCAAAGCTTTCCACGTTTTCTCTACCGTATGAACTGAATAATTGGAACCTATTTTAGGGTGATGAAAACCCTCAGGCAAACCTTTGATCTAAGAAAATGAAATTAAGGTTTAAAGTAGAGATGGCAAAAATTTTGTCATCATCATCAAGTATTAAATGCAGACTTGAGAAACAGCTATTTAAGAAGC